ACCAGAGATGTTGCTTCTTGTAGCAAGGGCAATGTACCCATCAGTCATGAGAGCTGGGGCAGTACACGTGCACACACACAACCCCGGGCTTTGTTTAGAAGAGAGCTGTGCAGAAGCAGTAATGGAGTTGAAACATTGCTGGTGTAGATAAGCCATTGCCTATCAGATAGTAACTTAATTTGATTATGTATGTGAAATAATGATGTATAACTGCAGCAGTTCATATGCTTGGGGCATGGGGTACAGCAAGGGAGTGGCAGCCAGGAGAAACAGGATCTGACCCTAGTTCCCCTCAACACTTCCGGTACTGACTTTAAGTAAGTCGCTTGATTACGGTGCCTTAGTTTCATCATCTGTCAAACTGAGAAGACATGTTGTTCCTTGCCCGTTTGTCTGCTTAGATTTGTAAGCAGCTTTGAGCATGGAAAGAAGTACTTGCACTTCCAATGCAAGCCGGCGGGATGCTGAACTCGATGGTCCCTTGATCTGTGCTTTGGTCCACCTCTAATACTAATAAAAGCCTTGCATTGCGTGGTTAAAATAAACAGCAAGTCTGGCAGCAAGTGCTCATGTTCTCTGCACATTGCCTGATGCACATTCAGATGCAACTCTGGGTGCTGGCTACAGTCCTAGGGCCCTGCACTGAACGAGACGCTGCTACCTGAGACTGTCTTGTGCCCTGTTGTGGCATTTCATACGCTCTGAAATTCTGTGGCAGCTGCTTCCTTGGGTCTAAGCAGTCAAGAATTAGCAGCAGGGCTTTCCTTCTTTACTCCGTCCTGCAGCTTTCCAGAAGCCAGTCATCAGGGTCTTGTCAACTGTGTTAATGCTATTTTGACTATTTTAAGTAGTCTCAGCCCCTGGTTATATAATTTGGCTGTGGGTGACGTACAGCAGTGATAGCGGTTGCTAAATTCTGTCGTTTTTTGAGTGGCTTGATGTGTAATTTTGTCTGTCTTCATTTTTCCCTTTTTTGTACTAGCATCTAGCTGTTTAGAAGCTCTGTCAAAAAAAAATAGCTGGGGAAAAAAGCTTTATGGCGAAGACATCTGTCCTCTTATAAAAGGGGAACAGTGATGTCACTGGTGAAGGTATAAGCTGGCTTTATAAGCCGGGCTTGTGCCCTGTCACTTTGAAGGGGATTCATTAGTTGCCCTACTCTCTGAGCTATGCTTATCGAGCTGGGAATATGAAGGTGTAGACATGCTGAGCCTATTTCATTGCTTGTATCATTTATTTGTAGCTGCTCCTGAATATTGCACCACAAAAACAGAGCTGACTTATGCCCTACTTGGGTCTAAGCAGAGAAGAGGGGCTTGGGTAAACCTCTGCTTATCTCTAGCTAGACCACTCTTCCAGATCAAAGCTATTTTTAAATCTGAACTTTGAGAACAAACAGAAAAGTCTTTCTGGGAAAAGGCTTTCCCTACGCTGAGGCCTCCTCTCCCCCGTATCCAGGTGAACATGTACACAGCACGAGATGTGTATAATGAAATGGGAAAGATATGCTATGGCATTACTCTCCAAATTTGTGTTTACAGAGCAGAAAGCTGATGTCCAAACTCTAGCCCAGTGCACAAAGCAAGCAAAGCCCTGATAACCGCCAGGCTGCTCGTTCTGTGAATGATGCTTTTAGCCTCTACCCAAATGACAGTATTTCAGCTGTTATAGGCCTAGCTTCATAAACAGTGGTGTTGCTTTATTCGCCAGCCAAGGTCAAAATTAAGAAGATTAAAATGGCTGGAGGCAAAGCTGTTTCCCTTGCTGCCTGTTACTATAAAATCCAGGCGTTGTGCCAGGTCCAAGATAAATTCTTCCAACTTGTGCTCTGAAGGGGCAAGGGGTCAGGAAGTTAGTGCCCATGTCAGTGGTGGCATTTCTAAAGGTCTCATACTTATGCAAGCATGTGACTGTGCAGGGGTATTTGTGGTAAAGAGTAGCAGAATCCTAATCCAGCACCTGCAAACCTTATTGGGGAAACGGGTGTCGAAGTATTGTCTTCCCTACTCGGATGGTCCTCAGTGTCCTGATGATATCTGCAGTAAGGACTAGCCTACAATTAAAAATGTTGCTGCTACAGATACTTGGGTAAGGCACTTAGTATAAACATCTCAAAGTGAAAATGAAAGTGTGTGTCACCATCTGCACCAGGGGTTCACCTGGGTAGAAATGCTGCAAAGGTCACGCCTGTAAGGAACGTTGCCAGCACACTTTCAGTGTAGATATGGCCTTGGCCTGTCCCTCCTTGCGCCCACGAAAATCAACCCTTCGCCTTTGCCAGCCAGTTTGTTGCATCCCCTTGGGCTCCGCTCTGCATGTGCTTAAACTGAGGGGTGGTGCTTTGCTTTTCTTTCATGGGCACTACCTAAATTGCAGCTTCTCAATGAGCTCCACGTGAGTAAATGTGTTGACTCGAGTGGTGTTTTCTGAAGGGGATCTCATACGCAGCGTTTCTTGAAGTGGTAACATGCTGAGACACTTGTGTAAACAAAATGCCTCCTTGCCAGCAGGCTCAGCTGTCGAAAATGCCTCTGAAACAGCTGAAATTGTCACTGTGGCCTTCTGAAATTCCATCAAGCTCATCTGCTAAAAATCATAATGTTAACTATCAGGTATGCAGGTTGTGGCCATATTGGTCTAGAGGTAAAAGGAATCCGACTTCGTGGCAGAGGTGCTATCTTCTATTAGACCAGCTAGATTTTTGCAGAAAAAATTCTGCCCGAAAGCTTGCAATTGAAGATTTTTGCAAAAATTTGGTTGGTCTAATAAAAGATACCACCTCTACCACAAGTTCTGATTCCTAATGTTAACTAAAGAATTTGGGGTGCTTTACAAAAGAGGACAGCACCTCCAGCCGCATTTTATAAATAAGGAACCTGAGGTGCAGGAGAGAGATGATTTGACTAAGGTCATTCATCAGGCCAAAGGCAGAGAGATGAGACTAGATCCCATGGCTCCTGTGTTTGCTGGACCACACTGCTTTGAGCGCTGCTGCATTGGCAGGGATCAATATTACAGCAGAGCTGTAATGCTGTTGCAGGAAGCAGCAGGTATATAAGATGGGAATCAGCACTACTCCCCCGTGTTCGTTCTACCACTGCTTTCGTTGGCAGTGTATAGCAGAGGAACCTCATTGATCCACAAAGTTGCATACTGTCCTTCCCAGCAGCCTTGCTCCATTTCTCAGTAGAGATGTTAGCAGTGTTACTAGAAGTCTATTCTTGCACAACATCTACCACAGAGCATTTGCTAGCCGGCTTTGAGGTGCTGATAAATAAAACTAAACTCCACTTCTCAAAACAACACATTGCAAGATGCAGCCTGTTCATCTTGGTTTTGTCGTCATGTTTAGTTGCTGGCTTTCAGATTCACTAACTGGCAGTGTGTCTCCCTGCAACGTGTGTAGTAGCATAGCTCATGGCTTCTGTACACACAGTAAGTTGCAAATGACTTGGGAGCTCTGGTTTGCCGTACCATCTGCTGACAAGAACCATTCCTTGTTATAAAGATTGTAGGTGCACACTAAAGCAGGAGGTTGGCTTGTCAGTATGCAGAAGCAGTGGGAAAGTGATAAGAATTGATCCACAAGAGCAGCAGTCTCAGCAAACGGCAGTACTGTTGGGAAAACAAAAGACAAACTGAATGCAAGCGAAATGGTTCTTATTAAACTTTGTTGTCTTCATTCTTTGACTCATGTGGCAACAATTTCTTATTTGTCAAGGACAGGATTTGTTTAATGCTCATGAAGCACGTGCTTTTTTTTTTTTTTTTAAACTGTTAATAGTGGTGTTGTAACATGTTGATCTATTTGTTTGCGTGAGCTTTCCGGTACGGTGGTGTGAAGTAGCCGATTCGATTCAGAGGAGAATCAGCCCGATTCGGCAGCCAAATCTCTGAATCCAGATGAAATCGGGAGACCCATTGATCTCTCCAAATTGGATCGGAAGCCTCCAAATCAATTCGGGGAGATTCGGCTATAGACTGTACAGGCAAGCACTAGGCAGTGGCGGTGGGAGCAACTCAGGGAGCAGCCAGATGAGCCCCGGCTTGAGCTGGCAACGCCAGGAGAAGCCACGGCCCATCTGGGTGCTCCCCCGGCTGCCCCTGCACCAGGGCGAGGCAGGCAGTGCTGGCAGCCCCAGGAGAAGCCACTGGGTTTGGAGGGAACGATTGGGGAGCTCGGGGATTGAACTGGGAGCTGGGGGGAAGCCCCTGTTTGTTCCCCCAGCCTCCAGTCATTCCCCCCAACCCCCCATGGCTTCTCCTGGGGCTGTTAGCTCAAGCTGCAGCTTATCCGGCTGCTTCTCTTCCCCCCCACCCTGGCAAGGCAGGAGTGTTGGCAGCCCCAGGAGAAGCCGTGGGGGCTGGGGGATCGAACAGAGAGCTGGGGGAATGATTGGGCCTGGGGGAGCAAACAGGGGCTTTCCCCCAGCTCCCGGTTAGATTCCCCAATTCCCCGATCATTCTCCCCAGCCCCCGCGGCTTCTCCTGGGGCTGCCAGCACTGCCTGCCTTGCCCCGGCGGGGAGCAGCCGGATGAGCCACGACTTCTCCCAGGGCTCCGGCTCAAGCCGTGGCTTGCCTGGCTGTTCCCCGAGCTGCTCCTGCTGGCACTGCCTGCCTGTATAGTCTATGGCCAAATAAGATTTGGCACCAAATATCTTCAGATCCGGATTTGCTGAATCGAATCGGGACAGTGATTTGAATCGGGACAGTGATTCGAATCGCTGTTCCTCCGAATTGCCGAATCCAAAGTGAATACTTTCTGCTTCGGACAGGCCTACTTTCCAGATCTGAGTCGAGGGGTCCCAGTTATCCATATAGCACGTCCTCTTGCCCAGCTCTTCTATCCACGCATCCCGTTTCCAAATATGAGCTAGTTTTTCAGCAACAGATTAACTTGGGGACTGGAAAGAGACTCATCTACCACTTCCACAAATGGGGAGTATGAATACATATTACTACATTAAATATGATGCCAGAGAGAAGTGGCCTTGCATGCAGCACAAGGCACCCTGCTCCCCAGCAGCTGCGCTCTGATGCACCCCAGTGGTCCCTGCCCCCTGAGGAGCAGACCAGCTAAGCCAACAGATCCTGTCATAGGTCCAAAACCACACTAAAATCTGGACTTGTCATGCCTCTTTTATGGAAAGCCAACTTTTTGCACAAGTCGGATCAGGAGATCTAGGCAAACAGGGGCACAGAACATGGGAGTAAGAGCTGATCAGTTGTTATTGCTTTTTGTTGTGTTTTTTCTAACCTCCCAAACCCCATTGCCACACACCTGTGCATGTGGTGACTAGAAAATGATTTACTAAACTTGTCTGAGATGAGAGCTAGCCATCTCCTGACAGCCAGGTAAACACAACAGTCTGTAACTATTTTTTCCTTTGTAGTAGAGGCCAAAAGGCAAAATTATTTCAGAGATCACATCATGACCCTGCTGTATGGTGCAGTTCCTGTATGGCTACTGTTCCCTGACCCTGTACCTTATTTGTATTTTATCTTACAGATGCGGCGGTACGGTTGGTGCCATCTTTACTTGTCCCTTGGAAGTAATAAAGACCAGGCTCCAGTCTTCAAAGCTTGCCTTCCAGGCTGTCTACTACCCTCAAGTCCAGTTGGGGACCATCAGCGGAGATGGAGTGGTCAGGCCAACATCCGTATCGCCTGGGCTTTTCCGGGTTCTCAAGTGAGTGCAGACCTCATCGCTCGGTGCTGCCCACAGGAGCAGGCCTGGGTCTGATCTCCTTTGCGCCAGCTTGACACTTGCATGTTGTCACTGCTGATTGATTGGCACTGGGGAAATAAGAATTGTGCCTTATCTACTTCAAAGTTGAATTAATCCTTCAGGCTGGTGGGTGTTTCTTTGAACTTTCAAAGGAATCGACTTCCCAGCAGCATGGACAAGCTCTCTAAAGGGTATTAGTTTGTGTAACAAAATGGGACGTTACTTTTAACTGGATTTAGGCTTTCTGGTAAGTATTATATCTGAAGGATTAAGAGCATATTATATGTCTCGCCTGGTGATGTGTATATGCCATCGTGCAAAAGATGCCAAGTGCTTTTTACTGCAGAGGAAGTGTGGATTTTCTGCCGTCTTGCTCCTGGGACGCGTGTTTCTATTTTGCAGTCCCTCTGTACTGGTAAGGCATGGTAAAGCAAGTCCTGCTGAATGGGCTACATCTTGGCAAAGTGACAGAGAGACTAAGTGAGCCCCAGAGACTGAGCTCCCCTCTTTCACTCCCAGAGTCTTTCCTTCCAAATCTGCGGAACAGCCTGGGGAAAAACCTTTCATTGCTGCCCACCCACACTGTGCCTCTGCTTTGGTCATCAGATAGGCTGCTTCCTGCCACTAAAATTCATTTGTTCTTTTTTTTTTTTTTTAA